TCAAATGAGGCGGAAATTCCAAATGAAGCAACCGAGTCAGTAACTTCATCAGAAGAAATTAGTGAGGAGGGGACGGTATCAACTGAGGAAACGCAAACTGAGGCAGTGTCAGAAGAACCATCAAATAAGGCGCAAATCCCACACGCATCATTTGAGGAAGTTACTGCATCAGAAGAAATTGCTGATGAGGGAACGGTATCAACTGAGGAAACGCAAAATGAGGCAATGTCGGAGGAACCATCAAATGAGGCAGAAATTCCAAAGGAGGCAACTTCATCCGACGAAATTGCTGAGGAGGGAATGTTTTCCACTGCGCAAATGCAACACGAAGTTGTTTCAAATTTACCTCATAATTTTGAGCAAATTCCTCTGGACAAACATCACACTGATAAAACCTTTACAACTCCTACTTTGCCTCCTCAACTCTGTGTTCTTGGATCTTAGTTTTTATGTGCTTTTCTTTATCCTATCTTTCTTTTCCTCTTATTTATTCTCTTCATACTTTTCAATCCATTATATCAATTTAATGTTTAACTAAGTTTATTTTTCCCACCTTTTTATGCTTTCTCCTTTTCCTACTCAACAAGCTTGCATTTTTCTTCTCCAGACACTTTGCTTTTAATTTTCTAGGTTTCATTATTTATAATTTTAAATATCTATTTGTTTAATTGAAATTTATCTATTCTTACTTTTTATTTTACTGGTACGCATTTTTATTTCTTTATAGTTCACTAAAATGTTTATCCATGATTTCGATTGCATATCCTTTAATTCAAAATATTATCTACTACTCTCACCGACAACAACGATGAAATCTTTGGTACATATTTATGATCTTTTCCGATTATTGGCCTATGGTGCCTAAAACCATTCCATGTTTATCCTATGATTTTCATTGAATGGCTAACTCTTCGCTTAGATCAATACCTATTACCTTACTTTATCTTCCACTTAAATTCTTCCCTCCCAAAAATGTGTTCTAAGTAGTTTCAGCTAAGTTTTGATTCCCCACAGTCGGCTAGAGTTTTAACCGCGGATGATAAATCACTTCCTTAACTGAGCATGCTCATGCGTAACAGATTTAGACACTAGGATTCTGAGACAAATTAAGGAAAATTAACAGTGTATACTTATTAGTCCTTGGACCAGGCTTTTTAGTTTTAATGGAAAAATATTGATCTGTTTCCCTCCACTTCGAATTTATTCCGAAGTATGGTACTTTTGGACACACATTTTACACGCAAACCCAAACCACTTTATCACTTTTTATTAAAGGGCATTCGTTGGTAGAAGATATCTTGTGTTTTCACTAATGAATTTGTATCTTTATAAAGTAGGTCATAAGAATAATTGGAGTTAAGGACATTTTTTCATGTCTTTTCCTTGGCATTTATCCCTTAATGGAAACATTCTTATGACGATTATGAGTATATGGGACAATAGAATTCCTAGGATAATAAGAGCATAATAAGGGAGTTTTCGCATATTTGCTTACCTCATCAAATATTATAAAACATAGCAAGCCAGATTAATTCAATAGCTCAATATCTAGTTTTACATATTAATTATTGCTTTTTCTTTAGATATCGGATTAACTGTGAGCTGGTCCTCCTCTTAAGATTGTATACGACTAAAAGTTGAATGGCCAACAAGGAACTAAGTAGAAAGTTTCAAGTCGCTACTAAATTTTAATAGACCTCATCGGTAACTTGGACCTCTTTCATGTCCAATCCACACCTTGAACAGAATTCGAAATAAGGTCGCAAGCATCAAACGGAAACACAAACACTCCAGCCGTCCATCGGGAATAAAGTAGGCCACATGGCAAATGCAAATTTCAATTCAAATCAGGCTTGCTACAATAAAAGTTAGTAAATATTGCTTTCGAGAATACGAGCATATATCCTTATACAAACTCACATATTTTCCGCTAACTTTAAGAACATTACTATATTGTAGATGCAAAGAGAAAGTTGGTTTCGATGAATCTCCTAAGATAACATTGTTAAGTGGACCCTAATTTCGAATGAAAGTGCATGAAGAAGAGATTCGTTGGTCGATCTCATCAGATACGCTAATTTAAGACATGGGTTGACCTTCTTTTTCGCAATTTGATCTTGTTGTTAGACGCACCGTGTCCGAATTCCTATGCTATAAAAATCAGTATATTTCCCAGCGACAGACCAGTCAACCAAAAAGCTAAGCAATGGATCTACGGAACCATGAGAGAAATCCAGACAGGAAGTCAGAGCCGGATTAGCCGATCGAAAGTGAGGAGGGCAAGGTGAATAGCAGGTGTGACGACACCATACTAAACTTGCCAAAAAAGGACACACCTGACGAGTGGAATCTAAATAAGTCAGAAGTAGTGATAAGGCGGAAGCGGTATAAATGGTTAGGGAGTAGATAGTCGGGTCAGGACAGAAAGAGAAATGATAGCACAACCTTTTATACATAAATTTGGTCAAAGGATTTATTTCACTCGTCTATTTGATCAGTTATAGCTTGGTGCCAAGAATGGCAAGACTCACTGATGATGTCGACTATGATGCCAGTGAAACGTCTGAGAATGCGCCAAGTAAATGCTCTGACGCTGGGAATTGTGCTGACTAATATAGCAGAGGACTTCGAACAAGGTGCTTCAAAATAAGTCGCACTGATAACATGACCAAATTGCGAAAACTAGGTAAACCCACTTCTCTTCATCGAGAGGAAATGGCTACCATACCGAGGGCCATATAGCTTTGGTCTTCATATATTCTAACCTATGAAAATTCCAAAATAGATTAGAATAATAAACTAAACAAACTATCGTAAGTATGAGGACCAAGATAGTGTGTATAGTGTGTATAGTGTGTATAAAAGTTGTTTGACCTTGTTTTCGCAACTTGGTCATATTGATAAGAAGACTTATAGGAACGCACCTTGTCCTGAATAAATTGTATGCATAATTATTTTC